CAATCTTTCTGATGTCTTGCCCTTCCGAAGTTTTCTCCTTTTCATGTTGCTGTCCACGTGTCCTTTGATACTAAATCTTCCGCTGCGCTGCCTCCCAGCCCATGATGATAATGATACGAATGTGTGTTGTTGATTTCTCGTTGGTTCACCCTTTGCACCGTGCACATTGACATCTTGTGAATGTTGCACCTATGCTGCTGGTTGTTGCCACTTTCGTCATTGCTAGATCCTAGGCTCTCAGTGCATTTCACTTTCTGATATGTTACAGTAGGGTAGGCCAGCGTATGCTGAAAACACTCAAGTAGCGTAGGTAGGCAGAAAAAGACAAGAAGGTAGTACCTTTAGAGGCTGAGGTAGATTTTAGAAGTCCGGTAGGCTTAGAGGCTAGGGGTACCGGTCCAGAAGTGTGAGTCTACAGCCTGCTGAGGGGTGTATCAGACTGCAATGTTGTTCCCTCCGAAATGCGGTGGTACCGGGTAGGTTTGGAGGCCGAGCGTCCTAGAAGCAACCGCGCGAGGAGGCACTTTGCCGGTATATCAAGCCGGGAGGCGAAGTGCCCCGCCTCATTTGCACGTGTGCAGCCTGGAGGCATGCTGCTGGAGCGGCACCCAGCTGAAGCAGCACTGGGCGAGGACGAAGCCGGCCTTGGCCTCCCACCTCGGTAATGGTGGAGAGGAAAGTGAACACAGATATGATGCAGAACCTAGAGCCGACCAATACAAAGAGCAATATAATGCAGCGGAAGACTTGAAAACATGGATCTGAACTCACATCTGACTCCGACTCCAGACAGGCTCACATACATATATGCATCAGTGAGAACGCCTGGCGCTCAAACATAGAAGATGCACCAGGGCCTGTACACAGCATTGCACGGACGAATGTAGCAGGAAGAGACGAAAGGAGGAGGAGGAGATGGCGCCAACATAAGTCACCGAAACAGCAATCCGAAATGTCGCAGATACAGAATCTCGGAATGTCGAAGATACAGAATCTCGGAGTGTCGAAGATACAGAATCTCGGAATGTCGAAGTTACGAAATCTCGAAGTGTCGTTGGTAACAGATCTCCAAATAATCCTCCCAACATCCTACTCTGAAATAGTCTCAGTCCTGATGTCACCGATATCTCACCATCGATCTCTGTCCCATAGTAACCGAGAATGTAGAAAGTTAGAAGAAGAGGAAGAAGAAGAAGAAGAAGAAGAAGAAGAAGAAGAAGAAGAGGAAGAAGAGGAAGAAGAAGAAGAAGAACCGAAAGGGGCAGAGGAGAAGGTGGAGACGGAGAGGTGGGGCTGAGGAAGATCTTCCTGCCCTGATCCAGTGTCCAGCAGAGGTTGACATTGGGTGGCCGTGACCCGACCCGACCGTACCCAGCCGTACCCGACAGTTTTGGACGGGTGCGGGTATGGCATGATTAGTATGCACCGGGGCAGCTGAGTCTGGAAAATCTGAGGGGGGGATATGGCCGGGGCACGAAACTGTAGGGTGGGTGGGGCTGGATATTGACACAGTGCCTGGACGGTTACGGCCAGGCAAAGGTTTGCCCTGGTTCCGGGTACGGCTGGGTAAAAGTTTCGCTGGTGACCCGAGGCATGTAGGCATACTAGGCATATTAGGCAAGAGGGCTAGGCCTGACACTTTTTCTTCACAGGGAAATAGTGGTACTAGTGGGGCTTGCCCCTAGTATAAATTTCTCTGGCCGTCTGTCGTTCATCTTAGGGCCGAGGTAGTACTAGGGCCAGGCCGTACTATTAATTCAGCCTGGCTCCAGTCGTTTCATCTTAGGGAATACGACATTCACTTATAAGCTCTGGCCATGATTGCGGTCAGATCCATCAAAATCTCGTTGTAGTTGCGTCCAAATGTAGACAAGAAAGTGTCATTGTGAGTATCCCCAGCCACTGGCCCATTGCCGCCGCCAAAATTCGAAGTGGAGATCTGTGGATGGAAGCTAAAGAACCCGACATGCAAAGGCCTAAGTTTAAAATAAAGATAAAAACTAAGCTTGGGTGGAAACTTTTGGGCACAGGTACGGCTGGGCATGGGTGGATGGATACTGGGTTTGGGTGCGGCTGGATGCGGATGAACGAAAATTTGGCCTGGGTGTAGCTGGGTATAGGAAGACAATTCTTAAATCACCCTGGGTGGGCTGGGTACGGGTAGGAAAAAAAAATAAATTAGCAAGGGTGGGTTGGGTCTGGGTAAAACAAATTGTGTTTACGCGGGTCCGGCTAGACATGATACATCAAGGCTTGGGCTGGGTCGGATATGGTTAGGAAAAACAATGGTTTTGCGACCTCTGGTGTCCAGACACCAACCTGCAGGTGCAAGGTGCCGCCTTGGAGCTGCTGAAGACTTGCCCTTGCCGCTGAAGCTATGGCGCTCACAGGTAGGTAGCTGGTAAGTCGTCTCTCTCTCGCTCACGCCTCTGCAGCTAGCGCTAAACCCAGCGCTACTGCCTGGAGCTACGCTAACCAAAATAGCGGAGCGCTGCTTCCTCAATGCCGCGCCTCCGAGTCTGTCTCGAACAGACCGCTGGCCGGTCCTAAGTACCGGCGGTGGCCTGTTCGGCCTGGCTGCTGGTGAAGCCGCGCCGTGATCTGGACCGTCCCAGTCGATCGGCGGTTCAGATCAGACCCACGGGAAGTGGCAGCCTCAATCCTCGGCCACCAGGCTCAAACGAACAATGTTTGGGCCGGTTTCCCGCTCAGGGTTTGCAGTTGCAGGCCCGGGTCTAAAACTGGTTTGCTGGGGCCAACCGTCGGCCTTTCCAAAGGTCCAGCCCTTAACCCAGGCCAGACTGGCCCAGCATGGCCATGGTCTGGGATAACCCCCTAGACCTAGCCGTCGGGCCTAACAGGGCCCGTGTGGAATCCAGTATGTAACAATCAGACTGCAATGTTGTTCCCTCCGAAATGCGGTGGTACTGGGTAGGCTTCGAGGCCGAGCGGCCTAGAAGCAACTGCGCGAGGAGGCACTTTGCCGGTATATCAAGCCGGGAGGCGAAGTGCGCCGCCTCATTTGCACGTGTGCAGCCTGCAGGAGCGGGCACCCAACTGAAGCAGCACTGGGTCAGGAAGAAGCCGGCCTTGGCCTCCCACCTCGGTAATGGTGGAGAGGACCGAGGAGGAGCACTCGGGGGAGTAGGAGTAGGAGCAGGGAGGCCGTGAGCCGGGAGGGGAGTGAAGGGGGAGCTTACCTGGCTATGGTGGACTGCATCTTCATCTTCTTGGTTGGCGCTGCACCTGGAAGGCCCCAAGTGGGGTAATACTTGGAAGGAGGACTCTGAGGGTGGTAGTAGGCATGTGGCCATAGTAGGAGAGACATAGTGGCTTTGCATTGTCCTTTGAACATCAGAGCTTCACTCTGATGGTCCGCCATAGCCACCAGCTATACCAAGGAGGAGTTGTGGGATGGCTACGATGGACTTCTTGAGTGGCTGGCAGTAAGGGGAGAATTCGGACATTGATTCTGGTGCATTGAACTGCATTCTTTCATTGTTATTTTTATTATTATTCAATTTATTCTTAATAAGATGTCGGGGAGGTAGCCGGGCCGGAGGTTGCAGAAGGTGGCGAGTTGAAGAGGGATTTGACATTGGTCTTTGCTGGTGTACGCCTTCGTCTTCTTCTTCTTCTTCTTCTTCCATTGTCTTCTTCCATTCTTTTCTTCCTCCTTTGTCGAAAAAGAAATTCTTTATAAGATGTCGGGTAGGTAGCCGGAGGTTGGAGAAGGGGGCGAGATGAAGAGGGATTTGACATTGGTCTTTGCTGGCGTACATCTTCTTCTTCTTCTTCTTCTTCCATTATCTTCTTCCTCCTTCGTTCGGTCTCTCTTTCCAAGTTCTTTCATTTCAGCTGCAATTGAACGGCGTTGTCTTTCTTTCGGTTTTTGCACTGTAAGATAGCCCGGATCATAACATTTGACAAACGCTTCAATCTATTGGTTGGGAGCCAATGCTTCCGGGCCTTTCCACCAGCAAAGACTTTCAGCTCATTTCAGTCTGATAGCATTGCCGTATGCATGTCAAACCATGCATGACAGGCATAGCCGCCACAGGGCTTCATCTAAGCTCTGCAATGAATTGCAGTTACCAATGCAGGTTGTACACTAATTCTGTTTGCTGAGTCCGAATGTTGCGTGGTCCGGGACTTGATCCCATGACTTGTATTGTGTCTGCTGTATTTGCTTGTTTCGAGCCTCGTTGGGCTCGATCCCTAGATCTGGCTGTAGCAGTCTCTGTTTGCTGGTCTTAGGCCCTTTGGCCTCTTCTCTTGTCCTTTCTGCACTCGTTTTCAGCAGGCATGTAGGTTTTCCCCCTTTTCCATGTCTTTCAGTCTAGATTCAGTCATAGGCAGTAGGTTGTCTGTCTTAGGCCGTAGGCTGTCGGGTCCTACAGGATTGAGGGGAACAAAAGCGTTGAGGGCAACGGAAAACGAATTCTGCTGGTCGTTTCTTTTTTTTTCCACAAAGTGCTGCTGGGGGTTGCGTCCTGCTTGGTGCTGCGTTCTCTTGCCTGCGGCATCTTCATGCTGTCAGGACCGGTGGCCATAGCTGGGGCTACCTGCTCATGTTGTGACAACGCTGGGCATCAGGCCCTGAGCGCTTTGAGGCGCCTCCTCTTACGTGTGCTGTTGGGGATAGGCAGCACTGCCATCGAAGCTCTTCCTTGCAAGTGTTTGTCGAAGTGGCAGCCATCTCCTTCTTCTTCAAGTTGGTGTTCTTCTTCTACGTCCAGGAAGCTACCCTCCCCTGTTGAGCGGACACTTCCTCTCGGTTCAGCTGGGTTGGTATTGATTGGTGGGCTTGATAGGTTGGGTGCAGGCCTGCGCCATAGCTGTGAGCTGGAGGTTGTGAGGAAGAAGAAGTCTCCCTTACTTGATGAAACTCTGTAAATAGTTGGTTCGTGGATGTTGATAACATGGTTCGGATCCTGGGACTTTGTGCTGCTGATTGAACTTGGGAGAGATGGTTTTAATTAGAATTGAATTAAGATTCAATTCTATAAATGGATTTGTGAGCTTCCGCTGTGCATTCTCCTCATCTGGTGCGGTGTGGTTTTCTCTCTCCAAGTCTACTTGTCATTGCACGTGTATGGGAACGTATGAATGCCATGCCGGATTCGTTTTTAATCAGGCACGTAACAGGGAAGCACACGATCCAGATATACATGGTGGTCCCCACTGCAGGCCACCTCCCTACCAGCCCCCCATGTTTGTTCACCCATTGCTCCCGAATTCCAGCTAGCACCCAGCATCGCATATACAGAACAGCTCCTTGAGATAGGGATAGTCCCACTTAAGGGCCAGTGTAAAATATATTAAGCATACAGAGGGAGCATGACAGCCATGGCTGCCAGGCAATCCAGCGGCTATGGTTGCCAGAGATGTCCGTGCTAGACAGGCTATAGACAATTGGAGCAGCTATGGCTGCCATGAGTATGGGTGCTAAACAACAGGAGCAGCTATGGGTGCCACAGCTATGAGTGCCACAGCTATGGGTGCCACTGCTATGGGTGATAGACAGGCTGTAGACAACAGAAGCAGCTATTGGTGCCAGTGCTTTGGGTGCGCTAGAGCCACGGGTGCTAAACAGGCTATAGAGAATAGGAGCACCTATGGCTTCTAGAATACCTGTATAGAAGAAATGAAAGAAGCAAAAGCGCCAATTTCAGCTATGGGTGCCATGGATATGGGTTCCAGCGCCGTGGATTTGCGACAGTCTATATATAAACAAGAGGAACAGCAATGCCTCCACAGCTATGGCTGCCACAGGTATGGGGGCCAGACTATTTGGTAGCTTTAGAGAAGAAAAGAGAGAAGCTGAGGCACAACTGGTAGCTATGGGTGTCAGAACCATGGGTGCTAGACAGGCTATCGACAACAGGGGCAGGTATGGCTTCCACAGCTAAACCTGCCCCAGCTTTGATTGCCATAGCTGCCAGACTTCCGTCTTCACCCGAATACAACGTACGGTCATTATAGCTGTTTTCGGTGTATCTTTCCGTCTTAATACAGCAGTAATGAACGTACATTGTATTCGGGTGAACAAGGTAGCTGTAGAGCAGAAAAGACAAAAGCTGCACCTGCCACTTGTAGATTGTCATGGAGTTGTTGTTGTTCTCCCATGAAGCAGCAAAAGCATTGTCTTATACAGTGGATACCAAACCACTGTACTTTGTCGAAAGCTGTCCATGTCCTCCAAGTGCAATCGTATTCCGAAAGGATTCAAAAGAGTGCAAAAAAAAACACAGACCTCCTGAGCCTTCCAACGCGTAATCTGGTGAAAGACTGGAAGCCAATGTTATATCACAACACATAGTTGCCTGAGTGGACGAGACCGAAGGGCGATGCTGGAGTGATTGTTGGTTGCTCCAGTTCTTCACTTGCCAATTGTGTTCTCCACGAGAGTTAAAGTCTCACATAATGTGCTATATTTTTCTACTCGAAGCATGTTATCTTTATCTTTACCTTTATCTTCACCTATATCTTTATCTTTACTTACTATCTTATGCGAAAAAATATGGTAATGCCTGCTCCCAGCTCTCTCATAGACGGACGGGAACATGGGACAGTGTGAAGGAAACATTTTGCCGTTACGATCCTGGCGAATTTCGAAGTAAAAATTCACGAGAAAGCACAATGCCGTCCAATTGCAAAACGAATGAATGAGAGGGAAAGAAGAAGAAGAAGAAGAATGGAAGGCATTCCACGATGAAGACCAGTCGGCCAGTTCAGAAAGGTCACAGCCGGGTACCTTAGGAGTCAAGTCCAACACGCACCCGGTGAACTGTTGCATGACTCGCATCCCAGAGGAAAAGGTTGCATTCTATAAGCAAAAGTCACGTCCCATATTGAAAAGTCATATCCCACAGGCAAAGGACACTTCCCCAGGCAAAAGTCGTGTCCCAGAGGCAAGAGTCACGGACCATAGTCAAAAGTCATGTTCCACAGGTGAAAAGTCATGACTCACAGGCCCAAGCAGCACACCAATGAAAATTTGGCTAAGTAACAGGACTTGACATTCTGAAGCAAACAGACCATGGGCATGTGGTACCAGTACCAAGTCAAGCCAAAAGAAGCAGAGGCTGGGACGCCCGGCAGCTCAGTCCAAGTCAATATAAGGACTGGCCAGCCACATTTCGGACAGATTGCTCATTCGTGAGGAGTGTGGAAGTGCTGCTGAAGCACTTGTGCGCTATCTGCGAGTAGCATGCGTGTGAGAGCCCTTCTGGGCAGAGAGAGAAGGTGGCCATAGCCGCATAGGTTAGTAGTAGGGATAGAGCTGAGTAGCAGCGGATGTATTCAGAGTCAAGATTCTCAAGTAGAGAGAGGGAGAGAGTAGAAAGGGAGACAGTGAGAAAGCGCATGCATGAAAAAGACCAGGAGGGAGAGAGAGAGAGAGAGAGAGAGAGAGAGAGAGAGAGAGAGAGAGAGAGAGAGAGAGAGAGAGAGAGAGAGAGAGAGAG